AGGAAATGTGTGAAATATGAATACATTTAATACATTGCCGGATAGTTTTAGGCATTATTAACATGCCGAATTTCGAACTTTGCCGGTAACATATATACAAAATCAACTTTATTTCATTGTTAACGTATATCTTATTTCTAATTGGATTATATGCGGAACGATTATTACGCCAAGTTTGTTGAAAAGGAAAATGTTGCTATTACTTTTCCCTAGAGATACTAATTTATATCTTTGTTGCAGATAATTGCTGAGGCAGCAAAATATAAGTTAGGGAAGAAATGGAGGGTTTAAGAAGCAACGATCAGGAACTAAGAAGAAGGAATCAAACAGGATGATTTCCGGTTAGGACGGTTGCTATTTGAAGAGCAGAGGAGGAGTTCATTCGAAACGCGTTATTCGGGTCGTCGATTTTCCCGTCATAACGAGTGAAAGGCGTCGTTTATCGGTGTCACTACTTCCGGGGGTATACAAGAAGGGTGACAAGAGAGGGTGGTATGCGATGAAAGTGTACGATGTGGAAAAGGGAAAGAGAGAGAGGGAGAGAGAAAGTTAAAGGGACGGAGTATGCAGTAATGCGCCGAATGACGGGGCAGTCTCATAGGACAATCGTCCAGTACTCGGAGAAGTGGGTGAGGTGGAGGTGGAGGTGTGGGGATGGGGGTGGAGGTGTCAGGGAGAGAGGGTGTCGAAATGCAATTCATCACAACAGAGACAGAGAGTTCTCCCACTAGTAGCCACCCTCTCTCTGTCCTCTCGCACGCACCCAACGCATCAATCTTCTTCTCCAACAATGTTCGCGTAAATTACCCTCATCGATATCAAAGTGACGAGGGTAGTGCTGGTGGTAGTGCTTCGAGAAGGCCTGCCCTTATCCAACGCGAGTTTGAAAATTGAGTTTACAAAGAGAAAGAGAGGGGGCAAGCTTATTCCCGTCCAATCCATACTTTTTCCATCTCTCTTTTTGAAGACATGACTAACAACGGAAATGAAAGTTCAATGGAGTATATTAAGATTTCTTTTTATGCTTGTATTAAGATATATCCTGGTATGTATTTTGTATTTTTTAATATAATTTTTATATGAATATGACTGACAAATTTATTGGTGTTTTAAGAAAAAAAATAATGATATTTTATTATAGCTTTATTATATTGAAGATCGAAGGTTGGATAATTACTCATACGAGCGGATCGTTAACACCATTCCAATCACAGCGTCGACCACCGAGGAGTTAATGATCAATCATCTCTGTGGCGTTGATGAAATTTCTATTATAATATGATCGGAAATATTGCTATTTAAAGCTCGCTTGCGTGCCGAAGACAATTGACGATTAAATCGTCGATTAATCGAGGAAAGGGTTTCAAATAATAAAAGGATTTGATTGATACGAAATCTCTCTCAATTTTTTGGATTACCGTAAAGTAAGTAACTTTTATTTATAATCATTAATATTTGATTTTTTAAATTCGATATTATCTAATGTTGAAAGAGAAAAATATTTGGTTCAGATTTTGAATCAGTTTGAATCGAAGAAAAACTGAAAGATACATCTTATCGATGATTAGGTAAATTCGATACAATTATCTTTCGGCACGCGTGTCTAGAACGTTGTTGTGATTTTAGTTTTTTCTCTCTTGCAGGGAAAACACGAAGATTTCGAAAATGACGGGTTAAAGATAAGGCAAATTGCTGTAACAAAAGGTTCCCGAGTAAAAGAAGGAAAGGCGAAAAAGGAAGAAAGAGAGGTGAGAGGCTCGATGGTGGTAGCAAGCAAAGCACGTTGCACACGTTCGCTTAGACGCGTTTAACTGCACGCGACAGAATGCATAATATGGATATGAGAGTTCGATAAGACGACGACATCGTTGCGGTTTGCAATACTTTGCACGACGGCGGCCTTTCGAGGTGAACTCATACAAGGATTATCCTTTAACGAAGTTTTAGATCTTACTTGAGTTATACTTTCAACAAGCTCGTGTTCATTTCCCCCCCACAAGTCTAACACTTCTTCTTCCGTCTTCATCGATTCTCTAGTTCTATTTTATTCTTTTTTTTTCTCCCTATCCATCGAAAATGGGATATCATATATTTATGGATCTTTGAGATTAGCTTCGTGGTATATTCCAGTACGACGATAAGCAGGAGGAACGATTTTTATGGGATCACGTAGGAATCGAAAAAATTCTTATCGTCTGTCCTATCATTTTCACGTCGTTCTTCTAATATTTTTCTTCCCTTGTTGATATATTTGATATATCTGTGCAAAAAAGTTTGCGGTTTAAAATACATGAAAACGAATGGGTGGGGAGGGGGGTTGTGATTGGGGAAATTTGAGATTTATCGATCGGTATAAATTTATTTTATTCTCAATGTTTCAGATTTAAATATTTTTCTAAATTAAATTTCGAATTCCAATTTTTTCGTGCTAATCATTTTCAAAATTAAAAGAGTTAATATATTTTCGATGAAAAGATCATTACGTTGTAACACAAAAAGAAGGATTACGTATCTAGTAATTCGATCGATTATGAAATTTTATTTCGTAGTTTCGATCAACGCGGATCAAACTGTCTGGTCTTTATCCTTTGTCCGACGAATCCTGCGTGGCCTACGAGGAGGGTAGATAAAATCGGCATTACGTTAGGGACATGCACGTGCAAACCTATTAACAAACGTACGTTCGCGAGATGCGTATGCGAGTACACGCATGAGTTTCGTGATTTATGGTTAGCTCTATCGACTCTCTCACCCTTGTTTTATCTTTCCAATTATTATCAAAGTTAGACCTTTGGACATTTGTAACGAAATATTTTTTAACAACGAATCTCTACATTTTTCGAGAAATTTTTGTTTTTTTATTTCTTTTTCAGATATATTGATTTATCTATTCTAGGGTCTTCGTAGGATATTCGTAAAAGTTATTTTGAAAAAGAGTGTCGCGACGAGCATAGATTTTAATCATCCAAGAGAACTCTCCTTTGTTCACGTAAAATACCATGAAAAGGGACTCTCTGTAGGGCCTTGCAATACATTGTCCAGTCATAAATCTCCAATTTGCGTCGGTTGCAAAACGACGAGGAAGCTTAATTGGTATAGTCCTGGTACCCTTACACACTCGCCAAACTTTCCAAGCGGTTTCCGCTTGAGTTAGAAAAACGATGTTTTCGAGTCAGCGAACACATTGTCGAAAGAGATAGAAGTTACTTTCTCTTAACTATTATCCATTATTGTAATGGTGATTTAACAAAACGACTAATTTAAAATTTAATCCTTTTTTTCAAAAAAGTTGACGAAGAAGAAACAAAACGATTACGTTAGAGAAACATATAGATTTTTCCCTGAATTTTCTTTCGTTGGTGCATATACGTTCTAAAAAATAAAATATAAAAAATAAAAAACAGAAAAACAAGCTATTCTGAAGAATTTTACACCCACATAGAAACGTTACAGAGTCGTTTGAAAGTTTTTTTTTTGTAGAAACAAAAATATTAAAACAGAAAAAGAAACACGTACGAGTGAGAGCGTGAGAGAGAGAGAGAGAGAAAGAACGGAAACGTTTTGTAAGCGAATATTAAGCGTTGGTGGATGCTATTTTGAAAAAGCTTCGCAAAATATTCTCCACTCTCATTCGCAAACGATCGTGTTGTTTACTCCTTTTAACTCTCTCTCTCTCTCTCTCTCTCTCTCTCTCTCTCTCTCTCTCTCTCTTTCTCTATCTCTCTTTTCACCTTGAAATTTGTTTTATTAGACGTTTAGTAGAAATGATGATTAGATCGTTATATAAGATCAATAACTGTGTGATCGATTTCAAGGAAGTTCGCGTTAGAGAAAATTTAATTATTCTTATATATTAAATTTATTTATTCTTATAACAATTGTTTATTAATTTAACTACGTTAATAAGAATGTTTCTTTTATCAATAATATACCGGATGGCCCATCCAAGGCCATAAATGTATATTTTGACGAGGCTTTCTCGCAAGACTGAATTTACTTCAAAGAATTTTCTTTCAGGATCTCTGCTTAGTCACGCGTTCTTCCGTTCTTGTCGAATGAGATTCTCGAACGACGGATTAATCATCCTTGTAATTACATGTATTACATATATTATTATAAATTTGTTATTGAATTTAACCTATGACGTTGAAATTATTGATTAATATTAAATAACAAATGATGTTTCGACGTTGCTATGTTTCATTTGTCATTGTAATTTAATTCTACTAACACTTTGTGTTTACAATTTACAATTATTAAAAATTATCGTCAGGTATTAAAAATAATAACTAAATTTTCTTGAAATTAAAAGTTTAATTAAAAACATCAAACTTATTTAATAATTTCTAATATTGAACTGTTTATAATTTTAACTATTATATATTGTATCATAATTGTTAAACATACTGAAGTATCTAATTTCCTACGAAAAATGAAATCAAATACACCTAGCAGTATATAAATGATATTTGTAATTTGAATCCATAACCATAAGTTAAATGCAAATATAAACAAATGTATTGATCAGATATCGTTGAGAAATAATCGATAAATACCGTATTTATATATAATTAAAATCTCTATTATAAAATAAATAATTTATTAAAACATATTTCCAGGAATGTAAGAAGCCAAATAAAATAAATCTCATGGGGAAACATAAGAGTGTGCAAGGTGTAGGAAAAATATATAATATGCACGCATGGTACCGTTGCATTTCCGGTAGAAAGAGGAAACTTGTCCTGGACCTAGGGTGTTGGAGTACTTAAGAAAGGTATGAAGAAGGGTGGAGGGAAATGGGTGGGGGGAGGGAAACGAATGCGAAGGTCGAAGGTCGAAGGTGTGGTAGGTGAGAGGTGTATTACAAAGAGTAAAAGAGAGAGAAATAGTGGGAAGGCGCGCACGAATAAGGACGAGAGTGGTGGGGGATGCGCGCGCAGCTATCGAACACGCTGCCGAGTCGCATGGTTTACCAGCTTCAGTAACTGCGTAACCTTCCAACGTGTAGGGTTTGTTATTTTTTCCTTCGGAAAGGAATTCGATAATCTTGTACATTGTTGACACTCGTTTACCGTACTGTTAGTTTTTAAAATAAGACTGATATTATCTAATAACACGGTATTTAAAGATAAATCGTTCGCACGGGAATATAATAGTGTATTAGTGAAAGATGAATTATTTCGCTTGATCTTCACTTCCCGCGCTTTTTTTTCCTGTGACTACAAGGGGGTTAATTGTATAAGCGAATAAAAAATAATAACAACATGGATAAGATTAATAATTATTTATTTTTATTCATGATAACGTTTTCGTCGATATTTTGCGAACCGAACGATGCGACCGTTACGCGTATCGCGATATTGAAGTGTTGTCCATACGGTCAGGAATTAATAGTAACGGTCGAGAATGGCGTTAGTAAGGTTAGCAACAATTGTGAGAAAAGTACGACAGAATGGAAACCTAAGATCTATTCGCCGTCTTTACAACAGTTTAATGAACCGTTAGACAGTTGGAATGTCTTGGAGGGTAGGAGACCCGAATGTCGAGAAGATTCTGTTTTAACTAGTATAGCTTCGAGACCCTCTCTACCTTTTATTTATCTCGAAGATGGCTTTGCCATTGTCAATGGAAATGTCGAAGAACCGATCGCACCTTCCGATTATTGTGCCGATCCAAATGCTATCCAGGTTTGCGTTAAAAAAACTCCGGAAGGTAATCATGCTGCTGCTACCATGAAACCAAAGATTAGACGCTGTTGTGGAAAATCTGCAATTTTTCATGAAGAAAAGTTCGTATTACTTTTGTGTATTCCTTTCTTTATATTGTATTTTTAATTATAAATATTTTCAATTTTGTAACCGATATAATGTTTGAAATATAGTATATATATATATATATATAT